GTTCGACAACGATAAAGATGCAAACTACCTTCTTGGTGAACGTCTGCCTTTAACTTCTTCTAGCTCTTTTTCAAAACGCAACGTTCTCTCGTCTATTCCTTCACCTGCAGTGCACTTAAGATTTAATGATTGACCTTCTTCTACTGTTACTGCCAAAGTGGAGTCAATTTGGGATGGTTCGTCTGAAATGATCTATTGTATTTAAATTCATGGAAGCTATGTACTGTTGAACTTACTCTTAGAGAGGACGAGCTCGTAGGAAGGGGCTAAAGTGATGTAATTACCAGCAGATTTCTTGTAACGACGATGATGCGCCATCGATTATGTTCCTGAAAAATAAGGTTGGTCTCTTGCAAACGAAAGTTGAAGACGTTGATTTTAGCGTCCTTCTCAGAAACACGTTCATCAATATGATTAGAAAAAGTGCCAGAAACAGTTTATTTATCAGGTTGAGGATTTACTGGATTTCTTTTTAAAAAAGTCAGCGGTATCTATTGGGTGTAACCTCCTCTTTGGTTCCTAGCTAGCTCTCATTGAAAATGTACGAAAATCTTTAGACAAATGATTAATAGAGCCAGACGTGAGATGAAGAGGGAACTAGGAGAAGATATGCAATTTTGTTAGGTAAAACATGACTTTTTACTGCTTATAAAAATTTTATTCGTTAAGTAAGTGAATTTACAAACTATGTAATGTTATGTTGTGTAAATAACACAACAAGAGTTTGAAGCAAATTTGATGTAATTTAGAATTAGACAAAAAAAGATCGTTGCTTTTTTACTAATTTGGAACAGCTTTCATTAATAGTCACTGAATTTATGTAACAGTTTTAGTGTTAATGTCAGAGTCAAATAATTCTGTGAGGTTCAGAAGGATTAGAAGCGGGGAGTGCAGACCCTGCAGAAGGAAAACGTGATGTATACAGCTTTTATATTCTGAGAGATGACAATCCGTCATCCTGATGAGTCACTATTCCAATTGCCCAAAAATCAGCTCTCTGAATAATATTTTTGCAGACTTTGAGGGTTTAAATTGTCAAAACAGTACGTAAAGGTGAATCATTAAAATCATACGAAGGTCGCAACAATTTTATCTTTGATTATACTTCAAAGTTAATTCAAAAAGTTGCAATTTTTGAAGTTTATCCTTACAAATAACTACTTGAGAAATCGACGTAAATTTAGCGTCAAATGGCGATTTACTTGCGAAGAGCTCATACTGCGAAAAGAGAAGAAATAA